TCTCCTGAGCCCTTCCTCCTATGTAGGCAGGTGTTGCTGCTTGCCCCCCTTCTCTCCACATGTTCCTCTGTGCCCCCCTAGGGGTCACACCCCATTTTTTTTTTTTGGCAAAACTGCATTTGTCCAGTTTGTTTTTGCCAACTGGTGATCAAATGCCCAGTTTTGCAACAACAACAAAAAGTCAGGACAGCTGGAATAGGGCTTAAAAAAGAGACTGTCCCGTCCCAAACGGGACATATGGTCACCCTGACTTAGTACAAACAAAAGGGGCTCCGGATATAAGTCGAAGACTGTGTTAAGATCACGCCTGGTAAACAAGAGACGTGTGGAATCGGACATCAGTGAACCAAAATTGGTGTGCTGAAACGAGGCCTAATCGGTGGACAAAATAATGAAGGGGTGGGCTATTCTTCCCATTACTCTCTTTTGCAGCACTTAAAAAGCCAGACTTTGAGGGGGAAAAGATGGATGGACAGATGGATGTGAACGTGGCTGAAAGGCAAGAGAAGGGGAAGGAGCAAGCATCATTCTCAGGGCTGCTACTCCCACCATCTCCTGGGACCTTAGACTGTCTTCATGCTAATCCTGAGAGATGTCCTGGCCAGACTGGGACAGCGAGCGGGAACCAGATGACATCACCACCGGCTCCAGCTCAATCCCAGATACCACGTGGGATGTGAGATTATAGTCTCCCACCCTCTAATGTGTCCTTTTCCTTCCCTACCTTATTTCTTACTTTCCTAACTCTCTCATTTTTCCTTCTGTTTAAAAAGAGTCTGACTTAGCCTGCCAAGACTGTATTTTGCAACACTGCTGTGAGCCTGTGGCCAGAAAGACAGCTAAAAGCAATGCCCTACATAGCCCGATGCTGGTACAAGTTTGCCAGGTCTTGGAGGGTATGTCTACACTGCAGTTAGACATCTGCATGTTTTTAATTGCAGTGTAGACATACCCAGAGTGGCTAAATAAGACCCTGTGATGGGCCTGTGTTTTTTCCACCAGAGACAGAAGCTGCATTTTCTCTCTTTGCTGTTCTTTTCCTTCCCCTTTTGTTTGTCTTGTTTTGCCTTCTAGGAAACTTTAACAATTGCAACAACTTTAACAATTGCAACAACGACAACAGCGCCAGCACCTCTCAACTAACTTCTCTTTCCCCCAAAAGGGCAGTTATGACCAGCTAAGGCTACATCTACACTACAGGGGGGAGTCGATTTAAGATACGCAAATTCAGCTACGTGAATAGCGTAGCTGAATTCGACGTATCGCAGCCGACTTACCCCGCTGTGAGGACGGTGGCAAAATCGACCTCTGCGGCTTCCCGTCGACGGCGCTTACTCCCACCTCCGCTGGTGGAGTAAGAGCGTCGATTCGGGGATCGATTGTCGTGTCCCGACGGGACGCGATAAATCGATCCCCGAGAGGTCGATTTCTACCCGCCGATTCAGGCGGGTAGTGTAGACATAGCCTAAGAGACTGTCAAACAAGTGAGATTACTTTCTAAAAACTCACCCGCTAAAGGGAAACGGAAAAGCCGTATTTAAAGGACAGCCTTATTTCATACCATTTCAAATGCTTTAACAGCTTTTCCTATTTTTCCCCTGTATCTTTAATAAGAGGTTAAAAGGATTTTTAATTATGTGTTTGCCATGGGCTGAGGTCTCTATAAACCAAATTTCCAAAAAAAGTTTAGTGTTGGACAAGTTACAGGGTCATGTAAAGACTTTTGACTCTCTGAACCCACATATTCCATAATCTAAGTTAATACAACAGGTGACAGTATGAAAAAATTTAAGAACCACCAATGCCGTCAAAGAAGTTTGTTCCCCCCATAAGCTAGGGCTGAATTTGGTCTATTTTTTGGCAATTTTGCACATCTGATTTGTATTCACTACCCCTAAAATCAAGCCTTTCAAACAATGTGTTCTTTGAAGAATTCTGAAATGGTTTCCACCAACTCCCAGTAAATAAACAGTCTCTCAACAGGACAATAATAACGAAGAGCAGAGAAAAACATAATGCTCATCCTCGTCTTGCTAATTGCACCGAAGAAACTAATTTTCTAAAGATAAAAAGCATGAAACTATCTTTCAAAAGAAAGTGAGCAGCAGCCAGGATGCTAGGTTCTGACCTGACAATGTCAATGTTATTTCACATGCTGGAAAGAAAATCCCATCTGGTTAGACTCTGGATTGATAATACAAAATCCATGGCCACCTGGAACTTCAACCAAGAGAGAACCATGTTCTTCCTGCTCCAATAGCACACCTACGGCTGGAGCCAAAGAAGAAGCTGCAATAGCAATGAGCAGTAAAGGGCTTATGACTCATAATTTAGCCGATCTGAATCTACCCAGTAGAGGTTAGTTTTGTGCAGACACACACACGTCAAGCAATATTTGTTTGTGCATCTGCAGACTAGACATAACCTTTAAAAATAGACACCTGTGAAGTTCAGCTTCTCACATTTGAGTGAGCCAGTCAGTGCAATAGGCTTGATTCTCCATGCCACACAGTCACTGACATGAGTGCAAAGTGGGTGTAAAACAACTGAATGCATTAATAACCTTCTAGCCCAAAACACAAACACGGATGTGGTGCCTGTGTGGAAACATTAACATCGAAGACAGAGGCTGCACATGAGACTTGGCCATGAAATGACTTTTCCAGTCATACAGAACTAGAAACTCCTAAAAGCCTGGGAGCTGTGGTCGGATCTGACCATTTGGACAGGGGGAAAGGCCAATTTATATTCAAGATGGAAAAGATTTAGACTTTTGTTACAATAAGAAGCTCACATCCTCACTGGCAGCTGGTGAGTACTTCTGGTTGCTGCATACCCCATGATAAGGGTTAGGGAATGAGACCTCATCTGTCCACATGCAAGGTTCTGAACGCTGCTTCTCCCCTAACTTCAATGGGAATTGAGGGCGCTCAGCACCTTGGGACTTTTCTTAGTCACATTAGAGGGATAATCAGTCAGATCCATGGGTAAATCCCCATAGGATTTTCTGGGGGATTTGCTGAGCTCGGTCTATAGACAAAACCTTTCATTTCCTGGATTATGAAGTCACAACGAGTGGTCATTTGTCCTTTAAGAAGGTGGCAGAAGCCTCATCACTCAAGCCATTTAAAATTAAACAAGACAAAGCACTGGAAAAATGGGAGCTACTTAGATTCCCCCTCCCTCCAAGCCCTACAAAAACCCACCTATAATAATGCAGGAGGCCAGACTAGGCTATGAAAATGGTCCCTTATGGCTTGAAGATCTAGAAATCTATGACTACGGGGATTCCTGGCAAGCAAAATACTTTTGCCCAGACACTGTGAAAACACCCCTGCATTTTCATCTATACTGTGCTTCTTGTATTCCTTCTCCTCCTCTCTGGATGTGAAGGAAATCAAGCGGGTCCAGAGGCATCAGTGTATTTGGGTTGTTATTGTAGGAAAGAAGGTGGGTGGGGGACTTAGGGAGGGGAACAGTACTGCATGGAGCAAAGCATGCCAGGGAATAAGAAGGGGAACAAGATAAGAAAGAAACACCTCTGGATCTCTCAGGATGGGCGGGCAGAGTAAATCATGCCAGCCTTCTGTACCCTGTACACCCCAAAGTTCTTCACCAACTGTCTGTAACTCCCTCCTCTCACCACCCAAATGCATCCCTGTCTGGGGTGTAACATGGCAGCTGTTTGACAGCACTCAGCAACACAGCTGAGAACAGGAATCCTGCATCTAGCGGAAACTGCAGGGGGAATTTAGGGTGTCTGAATATAGTTGCTCCAATTGGAATTTGGCCAAGACACTGAAGTTAATATGCCTAAGATCATGAAAAGTGTCCTGCCTGGGATTTTTAATGCACAAAAGAGATAAGATCTTCAATGAGACCAGGCCCCCCCTGTTTCTAGTTTCACAGTAAGCCCTTTCCCCCACCCTGTGGTGAAGAGGAAGAATGGGGACAGTGGGACGTAAAGGCATATGCACCATTGCCATGATGCCCGAAAACCCAACCGCACTGGGTGTGGGAGGTTCTCTCTGTCTCTCCTCTAGACCACAAAGAAAAGCAGCTCTGCAGTCTCTGTTCTTTGCATAGGAAAAACATTTGCAGTGGGAAGCTGGGGAGTCACGTGAGGAACTTCTGCTACAAGAAGCCACCTGAGAGAGACGAGCAGCGCACCAAGGAACACAGCACAATGCAGCGGCAGTGCCTGATCTTGCTCCCACAGGAGGAGGAACTGGTCCTTCTGTCACATAATGCCCATAGCTCAAAATGCCTTAGAGAGGTAGATAATGCATGTGCAGAAACAACAGACAGTCCCAGCACTGAGGGATGGTCCAGGGAGAAAAGATCAGTGAGTCGATAAAGCAGAAAGAAAAAGAGGCTTTTCCAGGAGCTGTGGAAGAGAAGGTTCTCACTCCAACAATGGCAGGTCTGTGGACCAATAGGTCCCACAGGGAGGTCCACCCTGTGTGTGCATTCCCCCCCTCCCCCAGTGTGCCTTACTCCACAAGCCATTAGAGCCTCACTCATTGCCCCAGAAGGATGTATATGAAACCTGCTCTGTAGAGGCTGGGGGAAGCTGGAGACATCAGGTGAAGTGAGCAGAGATGATCCCTGTCTCAAGGATGCCTGAGAAGTTGAAAACTTCCCAGGGGAGATGGGACGAGGTGGCTGCTATTTGCTCACTGTGTTTTGGCCATGTTGGAAGTCAGTTGTGTGTTGGTGAGGCACAGCCTGGAGTCAGAGGAGACCCGCTCGTATCACACGCACCCTGCCTCCTTTCCCCCCCTAACCAGCAGGAGAGCCACAAGGGCCACTGTAAAATGTCTCCAAGTAGCTGTCACGTGATGACAGGGAGTGTTAGTGCTTTAAAGGAACAAGGAGAGGACAGCTGGAGACATCTGTGGTCCATTACTCATGGGAGTGACACTCACTCATACAAGTAGTCCCACTAACTGCACTTGGGGACTGAGGGTTGCAGGATGGGAACTTCTGAGCTAACACTGATCTGTGTTGTCTATACACTGAGTGGGCCAAATTCATCTCTGGTGAAAGCCCACTGAAGTCAATGGAGCTACAACAGGGAGGTGTTTGTCCCAGTAGCCTGGAAGTTATTGTGTTCCTAATGTCTTCCCTGCACTCCTTGCCTTACCCTGCCAAGCCAGGTAGCCACTCCACGGAGGCGATAACCTGTCAGGCTGTCCCACTGGGTGAGAGGAGGAGGCTACAGAGATTTTGCAAATTCTGATTGGAAGGGGCAATTCTGCAATGGAGCCGTCCCCAGCAGAACAGCGGTGTTATTAGCTCAATACATGCTGTAAGCCTGTCATGGGCTCGGATTAGATCAGACAGAGCATCTGGTCTGGGATGGACTGCAGGGTCTCTGTCAGGCAAGAGCAGCAGGTGGTGATGAGGAGGAAGGACAGGGTGAGGAGATACAGCTGGCTCCAGCAGCTTTTTGTGCAGGAGAAGGTATTATATTTCTCTGTAAAAGCTGGCAACTGAACCCCACATGCTGCCCATCTCCTCATGTTGTTTCCTAGTCCCTTGAAAGTGATAAGTGCCAGGAATGAATCACTCTCAGATTCTTCCTGTCTCACTACCGTGCTGTGTCATTTCTGCCTGTTCCCAGCTGGCCCCAGTGTAAAGAAGTCTGCCGCACAGGGACAGAACGTTCAGCTTCTGACTGTTCCTTCACCAACCAGGCCTTGCACACACATCCACTACATGCACCCCTAGCCAGTCTCCACCCTTGCATTAGCTTCACCCCGACAACACCCCTCTGAGCTTTTAACTCCTTACTGTGCCTTCATGACACTTCTGCTGCTTGGCTGTAAGGTGAAAATGGCATTTCCAGTGTGTATCACTGTCAGGCATGCTGAGATCTAACAGCACGGGGCCTCCTCACAGCTCATGTACTCCAAAGGAAGATGTCAAACTGGTGCCTATGTCAGAAGATACTGGTACCAGATAACTGTGATAGGAGGTAATCAACCCACATCCCTTATTTATATATCACATGGCACAGTAAAAAACATTGAAAGAGTGACTGGAATGATGGTTCCACTGAATAACATAGGACACGTCAGCTTGAAAAAGGAAAGGACAAGGCGCACAGACACATCAGTGTACAGGATACTGAATGGGACAATGGCAGTGCCTAATTCAATAGGATAGTGATCTCTGATCTCACAATGTTATTTCAATGAGCAATTGACGTAAAT